GAATAATTATGGTGTGAACTAGTTGTAGAATAATTATGGTGTGAACTAGTTGTAGAATAATTATGGTGTGAACTAGATTAAGTTAGCAGCTTAATTTTTACCAATTATATAAATATGAAAGAATAATAACACAATACTAATTTATCTTAACAAGAATTATTTATTATATTTAGTTAAATTAACTTTACTCATCATCATTCAGAAGAACTGGTGAATCATGGATTGGGTCAAGTAACCACAGCATGAATGGGAGATGAGTACATTATTAATTGTAAGACCTTATGATTGAAACTATTATTTCTATAATAACCCAAAAAATCTGCTTCTTTGCAACAACGAGAAAAAACAACAAATCAAAGACACTTTATACAAACCAGTGTTATAATACTATATGCCTAAATAACTACAGAAAACTAGTGTTTGTTTAATGTGTTCTGTGCATGTAGCTGTTTCCAGTAATATATATATTTGATACTTGAAACTCTATAATTACAGAATTGAGGAAAAACAAGACAATTGTACGTTTCACGAATGCAACATTTATTACGACCGTGGTTTCACGTGATGATGCCTTTACTGGAAAAAAAATAAACGATGTATTTGTGAAACATACAATTGTCTTGTTATTCCTCAATTCTGTTTCCAGTAATAGACAACTAACATGTTTGATAATAAGATACACAGTTTATTATATCATTTTGTGATATATATAAGTTGAAAAATTGAGATTTCATTGAACGGATACTTTGAGTTTACTGCTCTTGATGATGACAACAAAAAGCTAAGCCTAACAAGATAACCATATTATTATAACAACTAACATGTTTGATAATAAGATACACAGTTTATTATATCATTTTGTGATATATATAAGTTGAAAAATTGAGATTTCATTGAACGGATACTTTGAGTTTACTGCTCTTGATGTTGACAACAAAAAGCTAAGCCTAACAAGATAACCATATTATTATAACAAGTAACATGTTTGATAATAAGATACACAGTTTATTATATCATTTTGTGATATATAT